CTTAGCATCACTGCATCACAGAGCATTCATCTACAGTTTTAGGAGCCAATGATGAGGCTCAAAGAGCTGGCAGAGGGGCACTGAGGGGAGGCTGAAGATGGTCATTGACCTCATCTTTGACAAAGCCATGTTGAGGCCACATTTTAAGCCAAGAGTTTAAGTGCCAGATAGTTCAAGTCAAAACCTCTACATGCTAACTTTGAGTTTATTGGAGACCTCTTCGATTTAAAGAGTGAGACTGTCATGCACAGCTGTGTCCAGAAACTTTTAAATAATCGTTAGAGTCTTAGAGAGGAATTAGCCCATTCTCACTACCAAATTGTCAAATATGGTTTTTAGTTTTGTTTTGCTTTGTTTGGCCCTACGCAGCAAACTAGCATCATTTATGGATGCGCTGGTCCGGCATAATGTTTTGATGTATAATTCTCTTACAATAGTAATTTTTCAAAAGAACTGAGAGCGGACTGATGTCTTATCGATGTGTAGTGTGTACAAGAACAGTTTTGGAAATGCTAGGATGAGTGCCACATACAAATTTATATAGACAGTCCTTTCTAAACAGTCAGAATATACTGTACATATACATAATCTATCATGATATTGTAGCAATGAGTTTTCTAACACCCTGCTGCAGGTGTAACAGTCTGATAATTGAGTTTCCACAGAAAGGGGTGATTATCCACTCCCAATTTTTGCAGAGCTATGACCCCTCTCCCAACACTCTTATGTGGCTTCTCTCCTATTTTACAATAACATTTCAAAATCTGCAGTTATAAAATACATATAACATTTAAAGGATATATATATGAGATTTAAAACACTAATATAGCTGCAAAAAGCTCTTTGGTACATAAAGATGAATTGGGGGTCATGGTGTCCTGAGCAGCTGACATTACCTTGACATTCCTTTGCCTGTGTTGCTAATGCAGCCTGCCTGTTTTCAGAGGAGAGTGACTGAAACTGCTGTTTTTCTCATCTTGTTCAGTGAATTAAGGATTTATTTTGGCATAGAGTTGGTGATTGCTGGAGATGTGGAAATACTAATAAAGACTGTTTTGAGTTTTGTTTTGTTCCTGTTCACTTTGATTGAAGTTATATATTAAAATAATATTAAAGCTAAAATTACAGTTTTTTTCTATGGAGTCTGGTGGAGAGCAATAGCGATATTACGGCTGCTTCTGGATAAACAAAAGGTCTATTTCTCATCTAATTCAGTGAATTAAGTGTTTATCTCAACCCAACTAGCATTGGTGATTGTTGGGGAAACAAAAAAATATGGTTTTGGTGAGTTTAATTTTGTTTAAGGTCTAATTTGAAGTGTGTTTTACAATTACGTAAAATGACTGGTTTTGTCGGTGGAGTCTAGTCAGCTATAGTGCTCATTGTTTTATTCTGAGACGCTGGTGCTCTAATGTGACAAGTACATTTTGTGTATGTAACTGTTAAAATAAACAAAATAGTTTTGTAGAAAATGACATTCCTATCATGCATGTGCACAGATGAAATCAAATTGTCAATGTTTGGATGCTTATCCACAACAGTGACAGCAACAACAAAAAGGTTTCTGATTTTTTTGGTAGATTTTGTGTCCAATACCGACAAGAGAGCAGGTGATAAAATGTAAAGGTTTTCATTTGTATAAAGGAAAAGAAACAGACTGTATGGCCCTCCAGTAGCTGTGCGTGAGACACCTTTAAATAGAAACCAGGTCCACAGTTAGGAATGCAGTAAAACCTTGTCAAATTGATTTAACCTGGCTGGAATCTGTCACTTTACCATACACAGCTGTTAATACAGCCACACTGTTTTCATGACTCTTTGAAGTATGTTTACTCTCTACCCTGATCTGTTCAGGAAAGGCCTCATGGGAGATAATGAGAGCCAAAGGAGGATTTTGTTGCAACTGAACACGTGCTCTTCAGTTTCCTTCCAAGTCCACGCGAATCATTGAGTCTGCTGGGTGTTATAAGGTGGCCGCAGAGTGTGTGAGCAAACTGTACAGAGGAAAGACAAGACAATGCGTGAATATAAGTACACGGATAAACACAGGAAGGGCTAGGCTAAGACCATGTGATATCTATTACATCCTTCCTCCTGTCAAGGTCACTGTCATCGTCACATGAATGCTCACGCAAACACATACACATATAGAGTGCACATATGGTAGTCATACACACACACTGGAGATGCTTACATGGACGTGTCCTCTCCTTTATCCACATAAGGGCTCTCTCAGGATGCTGAAAATTTGGCATGAGCTTAGAGCTGGCGTGTGTGAGTGTCTGTTGTCACCTGCTCTCTGTAGATACAAGGACTGTTTCTTCTAGACCAGTGCTCACCCAGAGGGATGCTGGTAGACAAAAGGTAATAAAGGTCCTGTGGCTTTTTGTCACTGATGAACCAACTGATAAAAACCTTGTATTGTGTCACCAAAACTCAGATTTTAGGAATATCAAAGAAAAAAAATCTGATTTTTTTTTTTTTTGCAGTTGGAATTGCATTTCTATTTATCTTGAGTAGACTTCCTGACTTCTGGGATTCTTTTAGCTCGACGCAAAGGCCGTTCCAATAAAAATGGAATAATTAAGACACCACATTCTGATATCCTCACGAGGTTATCGTGTGACAATACCACCTTACTGCCTGAAATTGATACAAGAAAAAGATCGTATACCACTCCCCGCTGATGTCTAATTTCCGAGCACTTCTCTCTGACATGATCCATCTGTGGTCACAGGAATATCCAGGGCACTGTGACCTTTGACCTTTTAACCATCACTCTGGTTGCTTACTGTATCATGTTACTTGAGTACTCTGTAAGTACAGTACAGTTCGCATGCAGACATAAAGTTCTTGCTCTTTTTACTTCAGATTAATGCAGATACACAATTGTTTCCTATTCTTGGCTCAGTTTTATCTTAATCTACAAGCAAAACCTAATATTACCTCAAATATAATGTTTAAAACAGGAGCTTTGTTCTTGTCAAGTAAGGGCACTGAAACAGATCCACATTAGATGACAAACTCCCACTAAAAGGATTTCTACCCATGCAAGAACCGCCTCAGGAAACATTTTTTTAGTTAGTTGTGACTTCTAGAGAATTACATAACTGTCTCCACTAGAGGCATTGTGATATTAACAATAGTTATTATGAAACTTATGACTAGAGTCATCTTAATATATTCTCAGGATCACTGTGTGACTATGTGAAAGGGGTCACTGGCACTGACAAACCTACAGAGAATCTTCAGCTCTCTTTGGCTTTATGAAGCATTACAGCAGGTTTTAGCTCAGTGTTTAGCTGCTGTACAGTTTTTGTTCACTGTCACTGCTCTCATAGGGTTGCATCCGGCTATAACAGGCAGAACAGCTCTGAAACCCACAGTACACCACCTGCTTAGCATTAAACAGCAGACAGACACAGTTGGTGACAAGATAGTGAACATAATGGAACTTTAGCTGCTCAGGAGGCAGATATTTCCCTCAGGAGTTGGTAGAGACCAAAAGCAGATCTAAAAGAGAGTGTATATTGGTCTTACATTACCCATGTGGTCAGAAACATGACTCTAAATGAATGATTATGTTTCCCTGTAATCAGCTAACTGTTTGTTATCAAGTTTGCCATATCAGTTTCACACCTCAATGTTATGTTCACTGCCCCCTACGGCAAAAAAACTAACAATAAACAGTCATTGCAGGTTTAAGTCTAGTACATCACAGATTTTGTGGCATAACTGTTATATATTAGAAAAATCTTATAGATAATGTGTAATCTCTTTTATTTTTATTTATTTTATTTGTATTTGTTTTTGTCAATTTCATTCTTTAATGTTGTTATTATAGTAATTGTACTTAGGCCACACATGTCAAATGACATGCCGATTAAACTGACTTTAGGAGTGCCGCTAACCACTCCTAAAGTCCTTCTAATGCAAACAGGGGATGTTGGCAGAAGTGGTGAATGAATTCAACATATTAATTCAATTCAGTTTAATCAGCATGTCATTTGACATGAGTGGCCAAAGTACAATTACTATAATAGTCCTTAATAGCTATTTCCCATGAGGTACCTTACCACAAGAGTTGCAAGGGGGAGTACAAGACTCATTGACTTCTCCTGTAGTTTTGAAGAAACCAAGGTAACGTTGTGAGGCACCTGGACTCGTAAGATGACAAAATCACAAGGTCACACTAGGTTCCATCTTGCCAGGCTTAAAACTAAAAAAGCATTCATCACATGGTTGTTGCTTCGGCTCTGAGCAGCAGGCCAGCAAAAAGATACCCACTGGGTTACATACAGCAGATAAATGTGTTAAATCAGATGTATATCTGCATCAAAATAAAACACGAATCATCACAAGACTACTTAATAAAGGGAAAGAAATGTGTGTCCTTTCATGATGTTTTGATTCATGGTGAGGGGCTGGGAAACCAGTGAACACTCAGGCTGGTTAGGAGTTGAACATTCAGTGTTTTAAATCATCATGATGACACTTAAAAACTTTGACACACTTGTTGACAGAGAGTTAAGTCACACAGATTTCAGTCAAATGAATTAAACTAATGAGCCTTACTCTCCTCAGTTTGCTGACTGTCATTTTCCATACAGATTAATGTTCCCTAAGAATAAATCAAAACCACACAATTTCTTGGGATCCTATAATAGTACCTCAACTAGCAGTCCTTATAGGTCACTGAGGGGTTATGAAAGTGATATTTTTAAATAAAAGTGATTAATCAGGGTCATCAGGACACATTCCTACACACATGCACACACTCTTCTGGCAGCTGAATCTATTTGACATTTACCCCCTGCTGATTTTTTTTATGGTGGTCTACGGTGTGTGTGTGTGTGTGTGTGTGTGTGTGCTGTGTGGCCATGTGAGAGGCCGTACAGAGTTGTCCAGCCTCCTTTTTTTGACTCCCTTGCAGTTGCGTGGATCGTATTACTGGCTTGCTCTCCCCGCACTGCTGAGCCCACCGCCTCTGCACCAATCACAGCCTGCCTCTACCTTGGCGCACATGCATGCACGAAGGCACAGACACAGACCCTGACATACACAAACACACACACACGTACACGGCGGTCCATCGCTCCGGTCCTCCACTCCGCTGCCTTCACATGCGTCCCCAACGACTAGCGACGCGTAGCGCCGGCTGCGCCAAGATGAGCGGTGGCCCCGGTAGCATCTAAACGTCTCGCCGCCTGACTGACCCAGAGTCGGAGAGAGAGAGAGAGACCATCTTTCCTCTCTCACAACCCATCTTCCCTTCGCCAGGAAGAGACCGCAGCGCCAGCCGTTTCTTTCGGCATCTTTTCTTTTTTTTCCACCACCCCTCCTCCTCCCGTTCTTGCTGCATCCCTCCGTTGCTGTCGGTCTCCCGGTTTGAAGGAGAAACCGGAGAGAGCCCGGTCGTGGTATTGTGGAAATACATTTTTACATTTTTTTCCTGCTGGGTGTTGGTAGCGCGCAGTTGGTGCGCGCCTTTGCAAATTCCGGTGAATGGTGGATTTGGCAAACATGGAGACCGTGGAGAAGGAATGCGGGGCCCTCGGGGGTCTATTCCAGGCGATTGTCAACGACATGAAGGTAAATAGAAGCTTGTTTATACGTTTCACTGGGTCAGTGACCGTGGTTGAACACATGTGCTCCCTCCCTGAGAATAACCACACAGCCTGATGGAGCTGGTGTCTCGGTTCCAAACACACGTTAAAAATGTCTGCACACACACCTCTGCTAATAAGCTGGTGTATTTGCTTGTATTTCACATTGAGGTGGAGTGACGGCACCGTTTCGCTCATAGTGATGCGGCTGGCCGCTGGGTTGCTGGTGCGAAACCCGCCCCCTCCTCCCTAAATACTGGCTGCGCACGTAAACGTCGATGCATCCGTTATCGGACATGCTCGACATGATGCTCAAGTGCCCCCCCCTGCAAAACCCCTCCACACTCACAAAACAGCCGGTCCGCTGTTTTCACACAGGTTCATCATGATGATACACACACACACAAACACACACACTTGTGTTTGTTTGTCAATGTGAATTGCCTGTAAGAGCGCTGGGGGTCCTTTAAACAGCCCCGTGGACGTGGCCGGTGCCTAAATTAAGCAGGAACTCCATTCATATCGATGGGGTTGTGAAACAAACTGGCACATTAGAGAGGCCTCGAATCAGATGTGTGTCCGCTCCTGGAGCCTTATGTCGATTATAGGCTCCAGCTTGGACACATTCCGTTACACACACATGTGGACCTGGTAGATAATTGCTTCATCATCATCGCAATCACCGTCCTCCTCTTTCCCCTCAAGCTAAAATGTGCCGCTGTATGAGAAAAGACACAGACTCGACTACAGTGCATATTCAGCCTCACCGGAGCGTCCTCGCCTTTCTCAACGGTTACCGTGCGTCTCCGCGAGAGTGCAGCGTCATTGATTTTCTGTCAGGCTGATCAGGCAGGAAAACATGAAGGCGTGAGAAGCCGTGCAGCCGTCAGACAGAACCCCCTGCCTCCCTGCGTCTCTGTCTGTCTGTCTGTCTGTCTGTCAGTCAGTGGTTGTGCAGCCTGATGGCTCCAGCATGGCACTAACAGCGCATACTGCCAGGCTGTAGCGGTTCAATACCCACCCAATGCTAAATGCACTGTATTCACGCATGCTGCTGCAAGAGGCTTTGGATGAAAGCGTCCATCAAATGGTTCATGATACAGTCTCTGTCGATATGTCTGCCTGTCAGACGCCCATGCAGCTCTGTCTGACATTCCAAGTCTTCCCTCTCTCTTTGTCTCTCCCATTCTAAATATGGTTTGTGCATTTATGTCATTAATGGGGAATTGGTGAAACATGGACAGCGTAGTATCTGTAATGAAATGTAGATCCTGTAGCCTGCATGGCTCCCTTTGTTATTTTCAAAAAGAAAAGGCTTTTATTTTAAAAATTCTGCATATTTTGTTGCCATATGTATGACCCCAAATGGTAGAGGTCATGAGTGCTTTAAGCTTATTGGGCCATAAGGAGAGATTATTGGTTTTCTGTTACAGTAAAACAGGTGAGAGTAGGAGAAAGGGATACACAAGGAAGATTCTGGATATCAACTCAATACCAATCCTACGCATGATAAAAGGATAAAAAACATTTCCAATAGTAAAAAGAGAAAGTAATTCAGCATTTCACATTACTCATGTGCACAGTAAAATTGATTAAATTAATTTAAAAAATCCAACAATTTAACGTGGGTGGTGTTATTCCAGTGACTAGTGCAAGCTTGTACAAAAGAATGGTTAAAACTGATGCAGCATAGGCCAACATATCCTGACACCAAACACACTGGATCATCCACCTTCCATAATAACATCTTTTGTTAGACCATCTGAAAATGTGTAGTCTACAAGTCGAAGCCGAGATTATTATCATTATTTTTTCCAAACTTTAGAGAGGGCCCTCTATGGCTAAAGAGGACATTATACTGCTGCTTCCAGAGGCTGAGTAGTACTCCTCACAAGTAAGCCGTTCATCTCCTTGTGTGAATTGAGCCTTTAAGGTCAGATAGGTCAAGTATGTATTTAGAGTAATCAGAATGTTAAGTATTGCAGTATTAGCAGGACCCACACATTCTGGAGATATTAATGTATAATCTACATTGTCCTGGAAAATTGTAATTGTATTTTAGCCTGTACTATGGCCAAATGAATGTTAAGGTCAGGGGAAAACTATAGTCAATTAGGAAAGTGGAAAAATCGAGAACAGCCAAGCACGCCACGAAAGTGAGCTAACACAGAGTGTCCCTTAAATATTGACCACATAATGGCTGACCACTGTTGGATTAGCAAGTGCTGTCTGATATTGTCATGAAGATCTCTTGGAAAATGTCCTGCAAAAGTCCTGGAATACAATTTCTTGAACCTTGTATTAACTGTCATATTGTATGTACTGTAGCATATCAGAATCATAATGTTGGGTATTATCAACAAGATCCGTGAAACCACAGGTCAGATAAAATGATTTTAATAAGGAAATGTGCAAAGAATGATAGAATTCAGATCTTATATATTGTATTATGAGCAGTATGTTTGACACATTTTGAGTCTGTTACTTTTCTCTTCCAAACACTGACAAACGTTCATTATACTGTATGTTGTGGGCTAGTAAATCTTGCATTATAAACCAATTATTAAGATTTTGTAGGTTTTTTTCTGGATTTAAGATTTCTGCCATTTGATATTGTTATATTTGAGCTACTACTGCACCAATTACTCAGGTTGTTTTTCTAAAGTCAAGAAATAAGAGCTAAAATGATCAGTTGATTGATCCATTAGTCAATCAACAGAAAATTAATCAGCAACTATTCGGATATTTAATTATTGGTTAAAGTAATTTTTCAAGCAAAAATGTCAAAGTTCCAGTTTCTAAATAGTTGCAGATTTACTGCTTTTTTTTGTCTTATGTGACTGTTAATTGAATATCTTTGGGTTTTGTCTGTAGGTCGGACAAAACAACAACTTCATGACATCAGCTTGGGATCTTGGAAATTGTTAAGAGAATTGTTCACTGTTTTCAGACATCACAACACATCAGTTTAACTTAATATTAAGTGATACAAATTATTTATTTGCGTGTAACAACAAATGAAAGCTCTCTGAGCTTTAAAGGACCAGTGTGTAGTGTCATCTAGCGATGAGGCTGCAGATTGCAACTATCTGAAAACAACTCAGCCCTATCTAGAGCCAGTGTTTGGTTTGTCTGTTCTGGACTACTGTAGAAAGATGGTGGCCTCCATTGAAGAGCAGCCACTCCCTCTGTACATATAAACGGGTCATTCTAAGGTAATGGAAACACAACGATTCTTATATTCAGGTCATTATACACTAATGAAAACATACCTATGAATATTATATTCCATTTCTGCCAATAGATCCTCCTAAATGTTACACACTGGACCTTGAAAATGCTATAAAAGAAGTCTGAATAAATGG